TGGTCCCCTAGCCCAGCCTACGTTCCGCCTCTGTTATCAATCATGATGTATTTATCTCGATTGTAGATATAACTAATAAGAAATAAAATCTTACCATTCCAGTGATCATAAAATCCCAAGTACTCCATCTATAAGAAAAGAGAGCCAAAAGAGTAGTTATTTCAATACAATTTCACTCAATTCATTCATTTAGGGTATATGTACGCATATATATATACCTCCCAATGATCCTTGACAATAGTTTCAACGTAGGCTTGATTCTCATACGATGTTTTGGAGGCCATCATCGACAATGCGGAATAATACTTGTATCCCTGTTCGGGTTTGATCTCGCTGTCGAGCTTCATTCGCTTGTCCATATTACCTATGAAAGATATGAATGTTGATGATTCTCTATCTGGCCAGTTTTCCTTTCCTGTATGAAGGGGGGAAACAGCTAAACTACGTTTATTTGGTGTCATGCATGCATAACTATATGCTACTCATATTAGGATGGAATGGAATTGCTGGTTATACGTGACATATATATATATATTTAAAAAATCGTATTAAATGATGGAGGGTTTAGAAATATTTTTTATGGTGAACATATATATATTAACAACATAAAATTTTAAGACCGATACAATCAATAAAATAAATAATTAATATTAAAAAATTCAAATTCCACGGTAAACTAGCGATTCACAAGGTCTTTAGAAGATTGTTTCTCTATAATTTTATTTGTTCTAATACACTTTTAACACGTGCTATCAGAAATCATAAGGATTTTGAACTATGGTGGAAGCAATATTCCCAAAAGAAGAGGCTGCTATGTGATTGCGGTGAAGTAGTGGACAAGGTAAGGCGAGCTTTAGTGAACCAATAAAGTTTTATTATATATTATACGACAGTATTAATATATAAATAAGAAAATATATTAATAATATTAATATCTTTTAACATTTCTAATAAAATATTACCCAAAAAAACTACAGAAAAATATTAATATTTTTTAACGTTACCTGAACCCACATATTCAACGTCACAAAATAATTTAGTGAAATAGTGGAACAGCTCACCTTTGCGGCACCACCAGCCGGACCCATCTTCATGGTGTAAAGTTAGTTACAAAATAGTTTATCAACCATTTAGAATAATAAATTACAAAGTAGCTTTTGTTTGTTTAATATAACCACTTTTAATAATAAAATTGATAAAAAATTACCTTAATTCATTTTTAATATATATTAAATGAAAATTAAATAGTATTTAAAATAATTTTATAAGGTTTATTATTTATGAGAAAATTTGAACGGTTCAATTGTTATTATGTATCTTAATTAAGATCTTTAAATCCTAAATTATAACTCTTAAATTTTAAATTCAGAATTCTAAATATAATTTTCTTTACAGTATGGGATAATAAGAAAGTATGTATTTAGAAATTTCTTAATTAATTGACAAAACACAACTTTTGTATACGTAATTTTTTTAAATATAAACTTTAAATCTAAAAATTCTAATTTTTTTTATTAATATGGGTAAATAGAAGGTAATATCTATTTAAAGATAGCTCTCAACCATTTAATATTGAACGCTCATACCATTGACATTCATGAGACTCTAAATTGATATCTCAAGAAAAAAAAATAATTCATTTACCACCCAAACTTGATTCGTGCAAAAATATTTGAGCTTATCACTGAGATAATAATCTTTTCTGTAAACAATGTTAAGCAAATCCCTATTTTTGTGGGGAAAAATGAATCGTATGAATTTCTTTCTGTCACTAAATTAATCAGGTACTTTGAGAGATTAAATTATGTTTAAGCAACGTAACACCAATTGCAGTGATCTATCCGTATAGAAACAAATTCAATGAACATTGATATAATTATACATAAGATGATAAATTAATTGCAGTAAAAACAATAAAAAAAACATAAATACCTCGCATGAGATTGATTATGAGCACGAAAAAGTTCTTGTTAATTGCCAGAAGATTAAGAAACATCTCGATCTTCGATCCCATCCACGACATTGGCTTCGAATTGAATATCAAAATCTTCTGCGCCACAATGGAATTGAAAATCAGCCACCTGTAGCGGAAACTCTCCGCTGTTTCGGACGAACTATCCACGAATTTCCGGTCATCCAAGTTACTCGAATACAATATCCGAAACAGATCGATGAATCCCAACTCTTCGGGTTTCAACAGCATGAAATTGCTGGAGAAACCCTTGTCGCATTCCTTGCTTTCATCTTGGCCCGCCATTAAAACTGCAGGAGAAGAAATTTTAAGGGATTTTGACTAAGGTTATCTGGTGAAGCAACAGTAAGGGGGAACATGATAGATTTCCTTTATCGACTCAGAAAGCGAGTTCTTATAGTGGGCAGTGAGGATTAATTAGTTTAATCAATGCCAAATATCACGTCGGATAATTGAGTAATGTATGACGGGAAGGATGACTTGTATTTAATTGGTGAATTGGGAAATTGACTTGAATGTGATTAGCCACCTTTGTCATGCCAATAAACAAAGCACAGGAAGAATCCTTTGTTGCGTGCTATTTTTATCTTCGGTAAAGTATAAAAATAGTCTCCGAGATATTGTTTTATTGAGTCTCGAAGTTACAAAATTATCGTATGATTATAAGGCGTTATTTTATTGAATATTCGATTATTAAAAATTATAAAATGGTCATCTGATTGTTAATTATGTTTCAAACTCGTCTATATTTTGGTTAAAAAAATGACAACAGTCTGAGCTAGATGTTAACCTACTAACTGAGATATCAAAAAATTTAATATTATAATCTCAAACGACTATCAAATATATAAGTAATGAGGATCGAGTGTATAATTATACAAACCTTGTTAATTGTCACATCATTTCGTCCACCAAATATCAACAGCGGGCGACTTGATTAACAACATTTAGATAGTTAGATGATTTAATTCACAATATTAAAAGATCGGTGATCAGATTAAAATATTTTATAATAAAATAGTAATAAATGTAATTTAACAAAAATATATATATAATTATTTTTGTCTATTTACATATGGTCTAAAAGCCTAAAGATTTATAGACGTCTTCCATACCTAATCCCGTCGCCGCCGCCGTCCCCATCACTTTAAATAAAGTAAACCGCTAGGGTTAGATCATAAATCACAAATACAGATATAGTTAGGTTCAAGTTTTCAACATTTTTGTTTCGTGGAGCTTTGCTTATAAATGGAACTAATTTAGGTATAGGGCCATGATGTGAACCAAACAAATGAAATGATAAATTTTGAAAAAATTAGCTTGTTATTTAAACTTCATAAAATAATAACCTTTTTATTAAATTTTAATTACACAAATTTTTTTTAAAAAAACTTCCAATTAAACACCAGCTGACCAACATCAATTTCCTAAAATTTTACAAAGTACCATCAACTTCTAATTTTTTTTTAGAGTTTGCGTCGTTTTCTATAGATCATATTACTTTTTCTTTTAATTTTATTAAACTGACAGCAGTACCAGTTTTGATATTGATTACCGACTGTCGGTTCTCTTTTCTCTCTGATTTTTTTTAAAAATTAATACAAATAATTTTATCTTTTGTGACATATTTTTCATCTTCTTTCTCGGTCATTTGATCATTCTTTTTATTTTATGTTTTTTCAAGGTTGGTTGACGACTCCACGGCTGATCAAGATGTCGTTTATTTGTAATTTTGTCGATCTTCCCTGCTATGGACCTTCATATTGAACTTGGATACGTGATTCTGCGTTCGTGGATAGTTTCTCACGACGCCCGACTCTGATTTACAATTCTCAGTAGTCTTTCAATAGCTTAATTCCCTTTTGTGATTCATTTGCCAATGCAATTAGATTTGTTCGTATCTATTTTTTATATGGTTCTTTTAATTGGGGTTTTAACCATTTTCATGCATTGTCCTTATATGATCTGAAATGATTAGTTTAAATGTTATATAAAAATATTTAAATTATGTATTTAATTTACGGTGATAGTTATAAATCATTATTGTAATTTTGAATATTTTCACTTTTTAATAAGACTAGTTGATTTTGTTCTCATATATATAAGTTATAATTTAATAAAAGTAATGGCATGATTCCATATAAGCTAATAATTCGGTATGACCATCTCTTAAAATTTTGGTATATTTCCAAAAAGCCTCCACATTTTTTTATAAGTTAATTAATTGGTAAGATTCCATATAAGTTTTTATTTGAAAATAAAATATATTATTTTATATATGAATTTATTAATAAATTGAGCCGTCATTAACATTGGGTAGATCATTAATAAAATATATAGTTAGGTTAGGTTAGGTTAGGTTCATATTTTCAACATTTTTTATTGATGGAAGTTTATTTATAAAATGGAAGAAATATAGGTATAAAATGAGATTCAGAGAATGACGAATTTGGTGATAGAGTTCTGGTAAATTCTTTTATTAGTATTGTGATATGTGAAGTTGTGAATTTAATTTTTGTATTTTGATTTGATTATATGTAGTTATTATATTTTTAATGTAATAATAATTGTTAAATATATTAAGTTAAATTCCATAATTATTTTTTATAATATGTGTAACTTATAAATTATCATATTTTTAATTTAATTATTTTATAATTTTATAATTTAATCACACTATCTTATACTATTTAAATTAAATCTAATTATTTCGAAACTTTGAGAAATACATTAACTAAAAATAATGGAATTAGGATATATAAATTAAATATTACATAAATTAACGAGAAAATATAATAAATCAAACACATAATATATATTTACACTATAACTCTAATTTTATATTATAACTTCATTGATGACATAGATAATTGATTTTGCTCACTTGGGTTATGAAGTTCAACAAAATCTGGGCCATCACATTTTAATACCTTTACTTTCACTTGCTAATGTAATTTTTGACTAACAAAGGTATACAAGAGTAATGATTTTGTTGAAATCTTCCAGATGCTAATATTCATGCAGGGTTCTATTTATGGTGGAAATGGTGGAAAAAAACATGGCTGAGCTTTCCAAGACGAGTGGAGTTGACATAATCTTGGGCACAATGGGCAGGTATACCAGGAATCAGCAAACCAAGGATTCTCATGCCAAGAAGTACCCAACCTTCTCTGTAATCTGGTCCATACTCGTTGCACATAAGGAAGCTTCTTATCATTTCATAGACGGCGTTTATTCGCATTGCAATCGAACCTCCAATTGAGAAGTAGTTTTTGTATGGTTCTTCATCTACTATCTACATTTAAAATTCATTCATTTATATAATATTTGATTCATTAATCGATTAATTTGATTTTTTTTTCTTTCTTCTTACCGATGGTTGATATTTGCTGTTGTAGTAAACGCAGGTACCAAAGTGCTTGAACACTCCAACAAAGGGAACTATAGGAACCATATCGTTACAGTAAACATATCGGAAAAAGTGAATCCCATGCTTTCTCAAGTTCTTCGCCATGTAATCCCTGAACGCATCGTCGCCGACTCTGGGTTAACCGAACATATAAACCCCTTCCATTCTCTCCAACAACATCTGCTCCTTGTGGTAAAACAAAATCGCTGGGAAAAGAGCAGCATGTTGAAAGTGGACAAATCCACCGAATGTTGAAAACAAAATCAACAAGTTGGCAAAACATTTCGGGGCCAACCAACATGATATTGTTGGGAAAAAATTAGGCACCGAATAGTGCAGCTTTTGTTGAATTTTGGTGATGATAAAATTACACTTTTAGTCATTATAATTTAGGGTATTTATAAATTAGTCCTTAAGATTCAACTATAAATACCCTAGCTCAGTTAGCTTCAAAATCATCCCAAAGCATTCTAGCTTTCTTCCAATACTAGAGAATTTAGAGAGTTTCTTGAGAGTTGTTTTCTCCTTTTTATCAAGAGAGAATTATCATTGTTTTCTCCTTGGTAGATCGAGAGAGGTTGTAATTCCTATTTTCTCATAGTGAAATTCTTCTACCATTGCCCGTAGTTTTTACCCTATATTATTTAGGGGTTTTCCACATAAATTTTGTGTCTCCTTTATCTTCATTGCGATTTTGCTCTATCTGATAGCCGTCTTCCACAACAATTGGTATCAGAGCTAGATTAGAGTGTGTAATATCTGCTTACTGTCTTTGTGGTTGCCACCAAAAGTTGGATCCTCCAACATAAGAAAGTAAGAAGTTATTACCCATTCTTTAAAGGTTCTAAAGAACTATTCACGATAGTGAAATAGTGGGAGCTATCCGTAAACGAAGCAATGACAACGAAATTTGATATTGAAAAGTTCAATGGGAGAAATTTCTCATTGTGGAAATTGAAGATGAAGGCCATCGTGAGGAAAGACGGTTGTCTAGCAGCTATCAGCGAAAGGTCAGTAGATTTCCCAGACGATAAAAAATAGATCGAAATGGACGAAAATACTATAGCAAACTTTCATCTAGCATTAGCAGATGAAGTATTGTCAAGTATCGAGGAGAAGAAGACAACTAAGGAGATATGGGATCATCTCACCAAACTGTACGAGGCCACATCGCTGCACAATAAAATTTTCCTTAAGAGAAAATTGTACACTCTCCGTATGCTAGAATCTACTTCAGTGACAGGGCACTTAAATACACTGAACACTTTATTTTCTCAGCTTACATCCTTAAGCTGTAAAATAGGAGAATAAGAACGTGTTGAACTTCTACTTCAAAGTCTACCGGATTCATATGATCAACTCATCATCAACTTGACAAACAGTAATGTCACCAGTCTAGTATTCGATGACGTTGCAGCTGCTGTTCTACAAGAAGAAAATCGGTGCAAGAACAAGGAAGACAGACAAGTAAATTTGCAACAAGCAGAAGCGTTGACAATGATGAAAACGATGAGAGGGAGATCAACAGAACGTGGCCAAAGCAGTAGTCACAAACATGGTAGATCGAAGTCGAGAAGCAAGAAGAATTTAAAGTGTTACAACTGTGGAAAGAAGGGTCACTTGAAGAAGGATTATTGGAGTCTAAATAAAAACTCCAATCCACAAGGCAATACCACAAACACTTCAGATGATGGAGATGCTCTATGCTGTGAAGCGTCAACCACCGTGGAATGAAGAAAACGATTTGCAGATATATGGCTCATTGATTCGGGAGCAACATATCACATGACCTCAAGAAGAGAATTGTTCCATCATTATGAACCTGTCTCAGGAGGATCTGTGTATAGTTGCAATGATCATGCCTTAAAGATCGTTGGCGTGAGAACCATCAAATTGAAGATGTATGATGGAACAATTAAAGTTGTTCGAGATGTGCGGCACGTGAAAGGCCTGAAGAAAAATTTATTATCCTACGGATTGTTGGATAATAATGCAAGCAAGATTGAAATAAGGAAAGGAATCATGAAGGTGTTCCGTGGAGCGCTTGTGGTGCTGAAAGGTGAAAAGATAGCTGCAAACTTGTATATGCTGAAGGGAGAGACATTGCTAGAAGCAGAAGCCTCTGTTGCCTCATGTAGTTCAGATTCTGCAATACTATGGCATAAGAAACTTGGACACATGTCAAAACAAGGAATGAAAGTCCTTGTGGAGCAAAAGCTACTTCCAGGCTTAACAAATGTATCACTTACTCTGTGTGAGCATTGCATAACAAGTAAGCAGCACCGGTTGAAATTTAACACATCAAATTCTAGAGGCAAAAGTGTTCTAGAATTGGTTCACTCTGACGTATGGCAAGCACCAGTAACGTCCCTAGGTGGAGCAAAATACTTTGTCTCATTTATTGATGACTACTCCAGGAGATGTTGGGTGCACCCTATTAAGAAGAAGTCAGACGTGTTTTTAACTTTCAAAAACTTCAAAGCGCAGGTGGAACTTGATTCTGGAAATAAGATCAAGTGTTTCAGAACAGATAATGGAGGAGAATACACAATCGAAGAATTTGATGACTTTTGCAGGAAAGAAGGCATCAAAAGACAGTTCACAGTGGCGAACACTCCTCAACAAAATGGAGTGGCAGAGTGGATGAACAGAACCTTGTTAGAAAGAACAAGAGCAATGTTGAGGGATGCAGGCTTAGAAAAATCATTCTGGGTAGAAGCAGTCAATACCGCTTGTTATTTGGTGAATCGAGCTCCATCAACTGCAATAGAGCTGAAGACACCAATGGAGATGTGGACTGGTAAACCAGCTGGTTATTTAAACCTCCATGTATTTGGAAGTATTGTGTACGTGATGTACAACTCCCAAGAAATTTCAAAAATAGATCCAAAATCCAGGAAATGCAAATTCTTGGGGTATGCTGATGGTGTAAAGGGGTATCGCTTGTGGGATCCCACTGCCCGCAAAGTGATCATCAGTAGAGATGTTATCTTTGTAGAAGATAAACTACAAAGAAAATAAGACGATGATATCGCTGAAAAGTCAGAGACTACACAGATATATGTGGAAAAGGAGGTTGAACAAGGAGATTATTCTGAAGCAGAACCAGCACATGATGAACAAGAACCAGAGAGTTCTGAAGGTCCAACAACTCGTCAATCAGATCGTGTGAGAAGACATCCCAATTGGCACTCAAATTATGTTATAGAAGGTAATATTGCATACTGCCTTTTAACAGAGGACGGTGAGCCATCAACATACCAGGAGGCAATAAACAGCTCAGATGCTTCACTGTGGATGATGGCGATGCAAGAAGAAATCGAAGCCCTTCATAAAAATAATACATGGGACCTTGTGCCACTACCACAAGGAAGGAAGCCAATTGGTAACAAATGGGTCTTCAAAATCAAGCGAAATGGTGACGATCAAGTTGAGAGGTATCGTGCAAGACTTGTGGTCAAAGGATATGCTCAAAAAGAAGGTATTGATTTCAATGAAATATTTTCTCCCTTGGTTCGACTAACAACAGTTCGAGTAGTTTTGGCAATATGTGCTACATTGAACTTACATCTAGAGCAGTTAGATGTTAAAACAACTTTTCTTCATGGAAATCTTGAAGAAGAGATTTACATGCTCCAGCCTGAAGGTTTTGAAGAAAAAGAAAAGAAGAACTTGGTTTGCATGTTGAACAAATCTCTGTACGGTCTAAAGCAGGCGCCGAGGTGTTGGTATAAGAGATTTGATTCCTTCATTATGTGCTTTGGATACAACATACTTAATGCAGACCCTTGTGCTTATTTCAAGAGGTCTGGTGATAACGATTTTGTTATATTGCTATTGTATGTGGATGACATGTTGGTTACAGGACCCAACAAAGATCATATTGAAGAATTGAATGTGCAATTGGCTAGGGAATTTGAAATGAAGGACTTGGGATCAGCAAATAAGATTCTAGGGATGCAAATTCACCGAGATAGAAGTAATAGGAAGATTTGGCTTTCATAAAAGAATTACTTGAAGAAGATCTTGTCACGATTTAGCATGTAAAATTGTAAGCCAATTTCTACCCCTATTCCTATTAACTTCAAATTATCCTCCAGTATGAGTCCTAGCAGTGAAAAAGAGATGATGGAGATGTCTTGAGTACCGTATGCATCAGCAGTGGGAAGTTTAATGTTCGCTATGATATGCACAAGACCAGACATTGCACAAGCAATGTGAGTGGTTAGTCGGTACATGACGAATCCAGGCAAAGAGCATTGGAATACAATAAAGAAGATCATGAGATACATCAAAGGGACCTCAAATGTTGCATTATGTTACGGAGGATCAAATTTACTAATCAATGAGTATGTAGATTCTGACTATGCAGGAGATTTGGATTAAAGCAAATCTACTACAGAATATGTGTTCAAAGTTGCTAGTGGAGCTGTAAGCTGGGTGGTTTCAAAATTGCAGTCAGTTGTGGCTACATCCACAACAGAAGCAGAATATGTAGCAGCTACACAAGCCAGTAAAGAAGCAATCTGGTTGAAGATGCTATTGGAGGAGCTTGGGCACAATCAAGAGTATGTCTCTCTATTTTGTAACAGTCAAAGCGCCTTACATCTAGCAAGGAATCTATCATTTCATTAAAGGACAAAGCACATACTAGTTCAGTACCATTTCATTCGTGAAAAGGTGGAAGAAGGGACGGTAGATATGCAGAAGATCCATACCAAAGACAATATAGCAGACTTCATGACGAAGGCGATCAATGCTGATAAATTTTCTTGGTGTCGATCCTCTTGTGGCCTGTCAGAGACGTAAGTAACATGAAGGTACAAGGTAGAATGAATGGTGTGAAGATATGATTGTTACAATCAAATCTTCAAGTGGGAGATTGTTGAAAGTGGACAAATCCACCGAATGTTGAAAACAAAATCAACAAGTTGGCAAAACATTTCGGTGCCAACCAACATGATATTGTTGAAAAAAAATAGGCACCGAATAGTGCAGCTTTTGTTGAATTTTGGTGATGATAAAATTACACTTTTAGTCATTATAATTTAGGGTATTTATAAATTAGTCCTTAAGATTCAACTATAAATACCCTAGCTCATTTAGCTTCAAAATCATCCCAAAGCATTCTAGCTTTCTTCCAATACTAGAGAATTTAGAGATTTCTTGAGAGTTGTTTTTCTTTTTTATTAAGAGAAATTATCATTGTTTTCTCCTTGGTAGATCGAGAGAGGTTGTAATTCCTATTTTCTCATAGTGAAATTCTTCTACCGTTGCCCGTGGTTTTACCCTATATTATTTAGGGGTTTTCCACGTAAATTTTGTGTCTCCTTTATCTTCATTTTATTTTTTCAAATTATCAATTGCTATTTTGCTTTATCCGATAATCATCTTCCGCAACACAGCCAACGCGCCGCCCAAACTGTGGCCCGTCACTATAAATTTGGCTTCAGGATTCTTTTCCAGAAGGTCTTTCAACGTGTCCCTTATGTCGTAGTAAGCCAACGGCAGTCGGCGTTGACCGTGGGTTGAATCGGGAACCACTTGTTTCGCCCAACCTGCACTACTCTGCATTCCCAAGGCTTTCGAGAAACCGCTATGAATCTTTCCGATGTGGGGGAATTCGAACCAAGACAAATCCACGTCTGAGCACCAATCCTCGGTGTTAAACGGTTGAGTCCCTCTGAAGCAGACGACGATGGTGTCATGGTCAACATTTTTGTCTCGAAACATTACAACTTGTGTTTCAGCTCTTTGCAAGAAATCTATCCAAATAATTAACAAATATCAAAAACCAATCAATTAATAAGTTGAAAATAATTAATAACATAAACTGAAAATGAATCAAAATAAGTTGGGTACCATTCCAGTAATTTTTAAATCCCAAGAACTCCATCTGCAGACACACAAACGTAGCAAATAATTAACGTAAGTTTAATGATTGACATTCAAGTAACCTAATTCAAGAAAGCCATGGATATACCTTCCACTGATTTTCGATTAGAGCTTGGTTATAAGCAGCATTATTGTAAACAGCTTTACAAGCCATAATCGAAAGTGCAGGATAATACATGGGATTTCCATGTTTAATGTCACTGTCTAACTTCATTCTCGTGTCTGTAAATCCGATAAAAGAGAGATATGTTGCAGCCTTCCTGTCTGGAATCACTACCTTCACTGCTCCAAACACAACGACACACGATTAATATCAAACTAAACATTACAGTGAAAGATATAAAATATATATATATATATATACCTCGCACGATATTTCTCAGGAGACCACGGAAGCCGCCATTAAGACTGAAGAAGTTGAGTAAAGTCTCTATCGTTATCCCCATCATCGCCATCGGCGTGTAAATCATAAGCAGAAACTTTTGCAACAGTGTAGAAATGACTACAAGAAGTCGATAAAAAAAACTGTCCTCTCTTGAGAAAGAGGATTGGATAAATTTTCTCTTCTTCAAATTATTGGAAAACAAGAGTTTAACAATATCAAAGAAAGAGGCTTCATTGGCGTTTATAATCATATAATGTGTACAAAAGCCGTGGTCGCACAATTTGGCTTCCATGGTTGGTTTTTGGTTTATGCTCCGGTAATCTGGTTTGCTCCCAAATTTATAGGCAAAAATATAGTGAACTTTAGACACGCGGTGGTGGAGAAAGTTGTACTTATTTCTTTGGAACAGTAAATATATATTTTTCCACGTGCATTTCATTTCTTTAATAGATCCGTCGCCGGTTAATAGTTGGGCACTACTTTTTGGACATTTAATTGGGGATTTAGTAATTTTATTCAACGAAACTCTAACTGTACGTTTCGTCCACGGAATGTAAAATTATTATTAGAAATAAATATTATCGGGAAATAAAATTACTACGAATATTGTATTTTATGTTTGGTTGGTTTAGCAGGAATGTAAGATTATATTTGTTTGGTTAAAGGAATAAAAAATTATTAGAATATATATTTTACCAAATTGTGCTTATTATATATTTATTTTTTAATAAGTTGAATTCTACTCTAATATTACTATAATTAATTTATATATTTTCTTTAAAAATTTAAATTCATAAAATTTATATAATTTTTTTACAAATTTGAAAAGATAAATAGGTTTAATGAAAGGGTAAAATTTTATTTTAACCCCTTAAATTCATATAAATTCTAATTATATATTTTTTGTAAATCTAAAATAGTTTAAGGATAAATTTATAATTTAACCTTCTTAGAATTTTTATTATTCAACGACAGAAGAAGGAAATTTTTTATAGAAAAAATTAAGGACATTTTAGTCCAAAACGCATGTAATCCAACGATACTAAGGGAAGGGGGATAATCACATTCCCGATAATATACCCCAAAAATTCCACTGTTGGTAATAAAATATTATCGGGGGCTGGGAATGCTGGCCAACCAAACGAGGGAATGAGGATTTCATTCCCCCAGTAATCCCATATGCCGTGAACCAAACAGCCCCTAAAGGTAAGAAAAAAATTATTACAACGTGTGAATCGATGAATGTCTCATGTGTGCAAAGTCATATATTCAATAATAACAACCAGTTGGTCTAGTGGGATGAGATACTAGATCCCTTAAGCAAGGTCAGAAGTTCGAATCCTGACATTTGCGAATGGAGCAAACTGGATTGAGAGGGTCGCCCTCGCCTCTGTAGTACCCGACTGAATTAGTTGGTAAATAGATTGGATATCAGTGGCTAATTAAAAAAAAAGTCATATATTCAATAGTAGAATTCAGAAATTACAAGGAAATTCATTTTTATTCACAATTTTATTTTTTACATTTTCCGTTTTTTTCTTTTACACATGTAAATCTACAAACTATCTTCGCAAGTTATAATTTTATAATAAAAAATTATCACAACAATAACGTGTAATTTTAATACTGAACAAATTATAAATATTTTTATATAAAATAATAATCATCGCAGAATTTTCTCTCTTATTTCCTTTCATGTTAACAATTATTAAACTCCTCTTTATTTATTTAACATATTACTTGATTGTTAAAGATATTTAATTAAAAAGAAAAAAAATCATTTAATTTTTTCACTCATTAACAGTATCTCTACCAAATTTCTATTTTTCAATTAAAAATGTTTGAATTAATATATTTGATTATATATTCAGTGAATTATAGACGTGGGGATAAAGTGATAAATGTCTGAAACTAATAAAATAAAATAAATAATATTTTGTATCTAATCAATTGAACAACAGATCATTCAAAACATAAAAATTATATATATTATATGGCTCGTACTATGCATAGGTCATATCCCTTAATCAAAATAATATTTGATAATATTGACGAAAGTTAAACTTTAACTTAGGTTTTAGCAAAATCTATACCATATTCATAATAAATATTATATTATATTTCGATAACGTTTATGAAATGATATATTAAAGATTCGCTTGAGTGTAAGAGTTAAACACGTTCTGCCAAGTTCCGACCAAAGTGAACGTAAACACTGAGAATATAATTTAGTATTGGAAAGCGTGAATTCCACGTGTTTTAAAATATTAGTAATTATCAATTACTACTATATTATATTAACTCTTGACATGACATCTTTCTTTAAACCGAGTCGTTTTCGTAATTGGCAGTGTCCCCGCCCCTTCTATTTTATAATTATAATTAAATAGGTATCCTGATATTGTTTTTTTTGCCAAAAATAATTATTTTAAAATTAATTTAGAAAGTTTATTATTGTAACAATTTATATGGTATCAGCTGTGACAGAGTCAAATAAATATTAGAAAAGCTTCCAATACCAATTTATGTCCTTAATCATCACAGATTATTCTCAAAGGCAATGATTTTTGGACTGTTCATATTGGTTCTTCTTACGGCTGGTGCCTTAAGCGTATCTTCAAACTTCGAGATGTGACTAATCCCATTCCTACTGCTGGAACAGGGAAATTTTCTGATATATGGGACACTTTGCGTGATAAAAAACCTCAAGTTCCATGGCAAAATATTATATGGTTCTCTCTACATGTTCCTAAATTTAGTTTAATCTCTTAGATGGCTTTACTTGATCGATTACCAACTAGAGATAGGCTCTTCCATATGGGTATTATTAATGACCGTAAATGCATACTCTGTGACGACCCTTGTGAAACAAGGGAGCATTTATTCTTCTCATGTCCAACGGCTAACCAACTGTGGTCTAATGTCTCCTCCTCCTCTGGCCTTCCATTCAATATTCACTCTTGGGAAGATCTTATCATGAGAGCAAGTACTAACTGGAAAGGAAAATCACTTCAAACTTTGATCATGAAACTAGCTTTAATAGCTCTTATCTATACTGTTTGGGTCAAGCGCAACAAACGTCTATTCTAAGATCGATCCAGAAACTTACATGAACTATTCCTTAGCATTAAGGATACTATTAGAATTCAATTGAGTGATAGGAATTTTAATAGGAATGTTAATGTTAACATTACTCTATGTGAGCAATGGGGTATTGGATGATTTGATTCTTTTGTATAGGCGAATCACTGATTTCGACCTCTGATGTTTTTTGTATCTGTTACTGTTCTTGGTGTTAGGAAATAAACCGAGTACGAGTAATTTCCTATAACCAGATTAGTGAGAATGCGAAATAAAAGCGGAAAAATAATACCCGAAATTGATAACGGAGTTCAGCCAATTGTGCTTACGTCTCCGGACTGCTGCAGATCTTTTACTAAAAGAGAAAATTTACAGGTGTTTACAAAACACTCACTACTCACAAGAAAGCTCTCTAGTATTGGGAGAAAGAAATGATTTTTGGGATCGTTTTGAAGCTAAATGAGCTAGGGTATTTATAGTTGAAACTTAAGGACTTAATCATGTAAATACCCTAAAGTCTAGTGACTAATTATGATTATCCCATTACAATATATCAACAAACATCTACCAAACTTTGAAAAACCATTTTTCAAGGAAACATTTACCAAACTTTGAAAATCATTTTCAAATAAACATTTACCAAACTTTGAAAACCATTTTTTCAAAGTTGGTTGCCAAACTTTGAACTTTTAATTTGGTGTATTGCTTGAATTTCAATAATCTCCCACTTGAAGACTGATTTTAATCTGTCTTCACACCTCGATCAATGCATCAACATTTTTGGTCTTGTTACTCCAGCATGCCAACTGAAGTTGAACACAACTTCAGTTTGTCCGTGGTCACCGTCTTTGTCAACATGGCTGCCGAATTTTGAGCTCTACTAATCTTTTCAAGTTTCAAAATCCCATCTTCCAGAAGAGACCGGATAAAATGATACCGTAATTGTATGTGCTTCGTCCTGGAATGAAAAGACGGATTCTTTGCTAGATGGATAGCACTTTTAATTTCGCAATATAAGACATTGTTTTCTTGTTTCTTGCCTAACTCTTCCAAGAAACTTTGGAGCCAAACCATCTCCTTGTTGGCTTCCGTAACAACGACATATTCTGCTTCAGTTGTAGAGAGAGCAACTATCTTCTGTAGTTGAGAAACCCAACTCACTGCAGTACCTCCTAGAGTATAGACATACCCTGTAGTGCTCCTTCTGATGTCAACATTTCCGGCTAAGTCAGCATCTATATAGCCTGTCAGTATCGTATCTCCACCTTTGAAACAAAGTGCTTTATTTGTGGTACCCCGTAGATATTTGAGGATCCATTTGACTGCTTCTCAGTGTACCTTGCCTGGATTATTCATGTACCTACTAACAGCTCCCACTACTTGAGCAATATCTGGTCTGGTACAAACCATGGCATACATTAGACTTCCAATTGCTGAGGCATACGGAAACTTTACCATGTGTGCACGTTCTTCCTCCGTCTTTGGTGACTGTTCTTTGGAGAGTCTAAAATGAACACCTAAAGGTGTACTTACTGGTTTAACATCTTGCATGTTAAACCTAGAGAGTACTTTGTTGATGTACTCGGCCTATGATAACATCAAAGTCCCCGACTTTGTGTCTCTCTTAATCCTCATCCCAAGAATCTGCTTTGCAGCGCCCAAATCCTTCATAGCAAACTACTTCGACAATTTTTACTTCAAGTTTATAATCCCTTGCATGTCTGAGCCTACAACGAGCATGTCATCAACGTACAACAATAAAATAATGAAGCTATTGTCGAACCTCTTGATGTAGCAACAATGATCTGCTTGGCATCTGGTAAAACCACTGATACTCATGAAACTATCGAACTTCTTGTATCATTGTCTAGGAGCTTGTTTTAAACCATACAAGCTCTTCTTCAACCTACATACCAGGTTTTTCTTGCCTGCCTCTATGAAGCCTTCTGGCTGACTCATATAGATTTCTTCCTCCAAAACACCATGAAGGAAAGTTGTCTTTACATCTAACTGCTCAAGATGTAAATTCTTTGCAGCTACAATTTTCAACACCAGTCTGATTGTAGACAACTTTACGACTGGAGAGAAAATTTCATTGTAGTCAATACCTTCTTTTTGCTGAAAACCTTTGACAACCAATCTTGCTTTGTAGCGTTTGCTCCCATCATGCTCTTTTTTGATCTTGTAAATCCACTTGTTGTGGAGCGTTTTCTTGCCTGGTGGTAATTCAGCTAATTCTCACATCTGATTTGACATAAGCGAGTCCATCTCATCTTTCATGGAAGACTCCCACTTGACTAAATCCTCCACTTGCATTGCTTCATCATAGCACTCTGGTTCACCATTGTCAGTCAGCAACAAGTAGTGCAAAGAAGGAGAATACCGTTGGGTTGGTTTAGGAATTCTGGAGGAGCGTCTTAGTTCCGGTGTGCCTGGTTTTCTTAAACTGCTTCAGGACTGATCTGAACATCATTTCCAGAAATCTCCTCAAACTCAGCAAATTCCTTTGTTTCAGCTTTGATGTTTGAGCTACTTGATTCTATGGTTGATCTGTCTTTGTACATCACATTCTCATTGAAAATGACATCTCTGCTTCTGATAATCTTCCCATTTTCGTAGTCCCAAAATCGATAACCAAACTCATCACCACCATAACCAACAAAAACACATTTGTTGGACTTGGCATCAAGTTTACTTCTTTCAGCAGAGTTTATGTGTACATAAGAAATACAACCAAACACTCTTAAGTGTGAAAGGTTTATTTATTTCTTGCTCCAAATTTTCTCTGGTATTCTGCCATCCAAAGGAACCGAGGGCCCACGGTTGATCAAGTAAGCTGTAGTGTTGATAGCTTCAGCCCATAGAAGTTTGGGCAATCCGGCATATATCCTCATGCTTCTGGCACGTTCATTCATAGTTCTGTTCATGTGCTCTGCTACGCTATTCTGCTACGGTGTCATGGGAACGGTTGTCTCCATCTTGATTCCTTTATTTGCGCAAAAATCTCTGAATCTACGATTTCTGTACTCTCCTCTATTGTCAGACCTCAACCGCTTGACTTTTAGACCAATCTCATTTTCCACCATGGCCTTTCATTTTCTGAAGGTATCAAAGACTTCTGATTTCTTCTTCAGAAAATAAACTCACACCTTCCTTGTAGAATCATCGATGAATGTGGCATAATATAGTGAGCCTGCAAGAGATAGAACTGGAGATGGTCCCCATACATCAGTATGAACCAACTCTAACTTTTCAGCCTTGGGTGTCTTACCAATCTTTGCAAAGCTGACTTTCTTTTGTTTGCCAAAGATGCAATCCTCGCATAGTCCGACATCTACATTCTTTAGATCCAACAGCTTTCCTTTTGACAAAAGTGTCTTCATCCCTTTCTCGCTCATGTGACAAAGCCTTTGGTGCAATAGGTTTGATTTTCCATCAGCATATGCGGCTGTAATGATATTCTCTAAATTTGAGGTTACATAGAGAGTACCAGTTTTCTTACCACGAGCAATGACGAGTGCTCCTTTGGTAATCTTCCATTCACAGCCTGAAAAGGTTGTGTTATATCATTCTCCATCAAGTTGTCTAATAGAAATCAGATTTCTTTTGAGGCTAGGAATATGTCTCACTCCTTTCAGCGTCCAGGTGGTCTGGTTTGGCAATTTTAGTCGGATGTCTCCTTTTCCGACGATCTTCAAGGTTTCATCATCAGCTAGATGAACCTTCCCAAAATCACCACTGACATAATTTTCCATGATTTATCGACATGGGGTGGAGTGGAAAAATGCCCCTGAATCCAAGATCCATGATTCAATCGAACTGTTGACGCTTAGAATCATGGCATCACCTGTCTCCTCTGTCACGTTGGCAGATTCTTGTGCGCCGGTATTTTTCTTCAGTGCTCGACAATCTCTTTTAAAATGACCCTTCTTGCTGCAGTTATAACAGGTAAAATCTTTCTTTCCCGTTCTGGATTTTGATCTGCCTCGGTTTGAATTTCTTTCTGAAGGTCTCCCTCTAGACTCTGTGTGCAAGGCTGAGGAGGTTGATGCTTCACCCGATTCTCTTCGTCGAATTTCTTCACTCAATACCAGATCTCGAACATCGTCGAATTTTAATTTACTGTTTCTCGACGAGCTGCTGACTGTTGTAACAGTAGCATTTCAACTGTCTGGTAGAGATGATAAGAGAATTAAAGCTCGAACTTCATCATCAAATTCAATTTCCACAGAACTCAACTGGGTTGTGATTGTGTTGAGTTCATTTAGGTGTTGTACCATCGATGCCCCTTCCGTCATCCGCAAATTGAATAATCGCCTCATCAAGTGCACTTTGTTTGAGGCTGATGGCTTCTCATACATACTGGAGAGAGCGGCCATAAGACCCGCCGTGGTCTTTTACTTTGCTATGTTGAAAGCAACATTGCGGGATAACGTCAGACGGATAACTCCGAGGGCTTGTCTGTCGAGAAGATCTCAGTCTTCATTCTTCATGCCCTCTGGTTGCTTTCCTGAGAGAGGTTGATATATATTTTTCTGGTACAGAAAATCTTCAATCTGCATCTTCCAAAAGCCAAAGTCCGCACCATCGAACTTTTTAATTTTCACCTTCCCTTCGTCTGTAGCCATCGCTCCCACTCGAATCTGGTTTCGTTTGAATCGTTTATGACAATTCTTGTGAACCACCGTGTATTAGAACACCTCCGTCGACAAACTCGTATCGCCGACAAATTTTTTACTATTCACGAAATTCACTATTCACGTGAATGGTAATGAATAGTAACCTCGCAAAAAATTGACAAAATTCACAACCAAAATCTCTGATACCAGTTGTTAGGAAATAAACCGAGTACGAGTAATTTCTTATAACCAGATTAGTGAGAATGCGAAATAAAAGCGGAAAAATAATACCCGAAATTGATAACGGAGTTCAGCCAATTGTGCTTACGTCTCCGGACTGCTGCAGATCTTTTACTAAGAGAGAAAATTTACAGGTGTTTACAAAACACTCACTACTCACAATAAAGCTCTCTAGTATTGGGAGAAATAAATGATTTTTGGGATCGTTTTGAAGCTAAATGAGCTAGGGTATTTATAGTTGAAACTTAAGGACTTAATCATGTAAATACCCTAAAGTCTAGTGACTAATTATGATTATCCCATTACAATATTTCAACAAACATCTACCAAACTTTGAAAAACAATTTTTCAAAGAAACATTTATCAAACTTTGAAAACCATTTTCAAATAAACATTTACCAAACTTTGAAAACCATTTTTTTAAAATTGGTTGTCAAACTTTGAACTTTTAATTTAGTGCATTAATTTCAACACTTGGATAGTAAAATAATGATTTATTCAAAAAAAAATTATGTCCTTAGAGGTTTAAATATGAATCACATTAATCACTGTCCCCTCAAATTTTCTTTCATTTACCATACATTTTTCTAATTAATAATTAGTATCGGTCAATTAATTCATATCTAGTTTTGCAGTGATTCATTCTACGGTAATCTTTTAACTCAATTTATTATATTTATAAGTATCAAAATTTAAACTCTGTATTACCGTACTAAACCAACTAATTATACATTCTACCATACACTTTTAACAACACGTAAATCGCAAGTATTATTCAAAGACTGATTTGACGTTGGTAAACCCTAAACGAACTTCCTATCAAAACTTAGATCTTGCAACAGACTGGAAAAAAAAAGATACAACTCGAAAGACATTGGGAATGGGATAAAACAAATGTTAATATAATAGTAATTCTTTGTCTCATGAAATCTTCAAAGTGCAAAGCCAAATCCAATGGCGGATCTGGTACAGGCTAGCAAGGGCATGCACTTCTCAAGATCCGCTTTTAATGGTGAAAATGGTGAGAAAGAAGATGATGGTGGGAATGGGAACCGAGACGAGTAGAGTTTACATAATCTTGGGGACAATGAGCAGGCAGACCAGGTATCAACAATCCAACGATTCTCATGGCAAATAGAAGCCAACCTTCTTTGTAATCTTCTCCATACTTTCTCCCCAGAACGAAGCTTCTTATCAGCATCGAAATACCCCCACAAATTGACAAGTAGTTCTTATATGGAACTTCCTCAACTATCTGCATTCAAAATAAATTTCCCAGACAAATTTTAATAAATATATTAGCAGTAAAATTGAGTTTGAGTAACAGGAAAAAGAGAGGGAATTGTGTCTTTACCGACAATTGATATTTGCTGTCGTAGTAAACGCAGTTACCAAAGTGTTTGAACACGCGGTCAGAAGGAACCCTAGGAACCACATCATTACAGTAAACATATCTGTAATATTTTATACCGCGCTTTTTCAAATTCATATCCATGTAATTCCCGAACGCATCATCGCCGACTCTGGGTTGTCCGAACGTGTAAATCGCCTCCATTCTGTCGAGCAACAACCGTTCGTCGTGGTAAAAGCAAATCGCCGGGAAAAGAGCAGCCAACGCGCCGCCCAAACTGTGGCCCGTCACTATAAATTTGGCTTCCGGATTTTTCCTCAAAAGTGTTCTCAACGTGTCCCTTATGTCGTAGTAAGCCAACGGAGCCTGGCGTCCACCGTAGTATGAATCGTGATCCACTTCTTCTGGACATCCTACATCATTTTGCATCCCCAAGGCTTTCATGAAGCCGCTGTGGACCCTCCCATGTATAAACCTTCATCGGTTTCTGTAAACACACAATTCCGTCCTTGCTTACAACAATATATTATACAATATCTATGTGTTGCATTATTTTAGTGTGCACTATGTACATTGTATAATATGCATGCATATGATATTATTTTATACAGCAATAAAAATGGCCCAAGCAACCCAGGCCCAGCAGACTCGTGACCCAGCAAGCAAAGGTTTCCAAGAACCCTAGCAAGTTCCAGCCAACGCCGTAACTGTCCCCATGCGAGAGTCCCGTGTCCCATGTCTCACCGGCATTCATCCCCGGTTATCTCGGCGCCTTGAACTCCTCAATGTCAAACAACCACCAACAAACGTAAGCACGTGAAACAAAAGCAAAGCAACGTGCATTAGTAGGACTCCAAACAACCAAACCGAGTCTTACTCGGATTCAATCTCTAAGGACAGTTTATTTCTTGTACTATAAATAAGATGTAACCCCATTGTATTTGGGGGGGATATACACAAAAATACGGAAACAACCACGCATCTATAGCAAATATAGAGAAGCAAGCCGAATCTTTGTACAACGTTTGAAAGGAAATAAAGGTAGCATTTTTACCTTATTTTGTTCGTTCTTGGCTACTTGCATGCGTAGTTACTCGCGTTTTGTGCTTGAAATCACCAAAGAAAAACGTTTTGGCCGATGACAAAGGAGTGGATCTTTTGAACCTTCGATCTTAGATTTACACTCCGAGGCTTGTTTTCAAAAGAAAGTATTCGGATATTCTGAAAAAGGAGGCAAAGGGCTCTTAAAAAATCGAAACTTTTTTATATTTTGTCGCTGATGAACGGCGGTCGGCGCCAACAACGGTGGCCGGAGTCTGGGAACTACGGCGGCGTTCATGTGTTCATCAAGAACACATGAACCAAGCAGAGGAAAAAAGAGAAATGGGGAAGGGCTCGGCGAGAGAAGAAGAGAAATGTTTTGAAAAAAAAAACGTTTATTTACATATATACAACCCGTGAAACCAACCCTGGAACCCGACCCAATCTCCTTCAAACCGGTGCGTTTTGATGAAAAGGGGGTGAATCGCGTTTTTGTTCGCTTTCTTTCAAAACTTCCATTTTGATCCCAGAATTGAATTTGAACCCTGATTTTTCTTTTAATTTGGCCACTGGATTCATCCTTCTTTTCAATTTAACCCCTGATTAAGATCAAGTAACGTTTTAGTTTTTAATTTCATTTATCCATTTGCTTCTTATTATTTAATATATTACGTTTATTTTTTTTATTATTATGGTATATTATGTATATATGTATATATTTACATTTCCTTTCCGTTTTTACCTTTTTTTTATTATTACTATTATATTATATTTTTATTATTCTGTTTTTTCTACTATTATTAATATTTTTTCCCTAATATTTGATTATTTAGTATTATTATTATTATTAAATATATTTATATGCTCCTAGTTATTTGTTTTATCTAATACATGCTATTATTTTATGTATTTTTTATTTATTTATATGTGTATACATTTTGTATTTTATCTTATTATTTCTTTACTCTTTTTCTTATTATATTTATCTTCATTATTTAGTTTTTCCGTTACTATTATATAGATTTTTTTCCTCATATTCTGTTATTATATATATATGGAATTAATATTATTATATATGTTTTTATTAATTTTACCTTATACGCTATTATTTTACATTTTTTATATACATATGGACATTTTATTTAATTCTTATCACTTTAAATTTGTATGTTATTTTATTTCACCTTTATTATGTTTTATTTATTCATTTATTCCTTTTTATTTTATTTGCACATATTTGATTATAGTTATTTATTTATTTTAGTTTTTTTTTATTACTATTATATATATCTTTTTATTTTTTTTACTTTTTTTATATATCTTTATTATTATTACCATCATTTTTATATTCTATATTTTCCTCATCTTATTTGTTTTCCATTTTACCTTAGGTGTTTTATTTGCATTCCTTATCTAATATATGTCCTGATCTTTTAAGGGTACAATTTAAGCAATCTAAGGTAAGTAATTTGGATCGTCATTTTACATTTTAATTTAAATTTACAACTTTCTTAATTAAAGACAACTGGAAATTACATAGTACCGAAAGGGCAGTTCAAGGGTACTAATCCTTCCTTAGCTGTAACCGACTCCCGAATCCGACATATCTTCGGTAAGACGCAGATCAGGTAAGATAGAAGGTATCCGATTAACCTATTTATTTGTAAATAAATAATCGGTGGCGACTCCAATCCACATTTTTCAAGTCGAAGCCCAATTCCGGGGCCCAACCGAAAGACGGTTGCGACAGCTTGGCGACTCCGCTGGGGACCAGGTAAGTGAGTCAGGCTAAGGTAATTTCCAGTTGTCTTTTCAACGAAAAGGGTAAGTTTAAATTTTAAGGTAACATTTCGATCCTTATTGCTTACTTTTGATTATATTTTTTCGCGTAAATAGTTGTACTAATCGTTTTCTCAATGATTTCAGCCCTTAAAGTCTTTTTTCATCTAAGGCTCTAAACCCGAGCTCCAAACCCGTTTTAAGTGGGGGTGAAAGCGACGCATTCGTGTGAATTTATTCACCGCATATGCCTAGCAAGTAGCCTTCGGGATTCATATACCTTATGTCTTCGTGTGAATTTATTCTCCGCATAGACATAAGGGAATGTGTCCCCTCGAGTTTAACTTCGTCCACACAAGCCTGTGATGGGTTTAGGACTAAGGGTCTGGTAAACCCAAGGGGGCACCAGCAAGGAGAACTCGGGTACCGTTTTTAGAACCTAAACCAGGAGACTCCGAAGAAATAGAGCCTACCCCAAAACCACATTCCAAAACCCAGGACAATTCTTTCCTAACCATTTGTTTTTCCTTATGTTTTTATTACCATTTATTTCTTGTTATTTTTATTTATTTCCATTTTTATTTTACTAACCGTTTGCCTTTGTGTTTGTTTTTAGCATTTGCATCATAACAAAAGGCCATTGATCCCTAAAAAGACGTTCATTTCGTACAAAATAATCTGAATTAATGGATAAAGGTGTTGTAATACAAGAGATTAAAAACCCTGAGGTACGACTATGGTCCGAGAAGACTCAGAAGGAAAAGGGAGACAGTCTTCAAGACAGCTATGTGTCAGAGCTGGTTAGCTACGCCTCAATCAGCCTAAAGCAGAATGACATACAAGAGCTCCGGGACATCTGGGACAGTTGGAAGAATGAGGTGAAACAGAAGTTCAGCCAACGGTACGGTGATGTTGCACTTCTGCTTCATGTTAAGATTGATGAGCCCTTAATTAGAGCCTTGGTTCAATTTTGGAACCCGAGATACAGTTGCTTCACCTTTAACCGGGAAGACATGGTGCCCACCATAGAAGAATACACTACACTGCTGCATTGTGAAAACATCAAACTCGAGCGGGCCTACCTTAAGCACATTAAAAGTCAACCTTTCAAAAATGCATTAGCTAAGGTTGCCGGAGTTGATGAAAAATGGGTAACTGACCGAGCTCGATGTAAGGGTAGTGGAGAAGGAATCGCTTGGCTTCATATCAAACAACTAATGAAGCACCATCCCGATGAGTGGAAGACAATAGACCTGTTTGCATTAGGTCTGTATGGTCTAATTTTATTCCCAAAGACCTTGGGATACATCGATGCCACCGTAGTGGAGCTATTCGAACAACTCTCGAGAAGAGTCAATCCAGCACCTGCCATCTTGGCTGAGACATTTCGATCTCTCAATCATTGCCGAAGAACTGGCGGAGGAAGATTCACCGGGTGCATTCAGCTCCTTCAAGTCTGGATTCACAGCCACTTCTGGAAGACTGACGGGGTTGCCTACCGCCGTTTCAGCACCACCTATTCACCTCTAGGTGAATTTATTACCTTAAAATGGCATGAAGGCGCTTCGAAAGAAAAATGAATGAAGGTCTTTACGCATCTTCAAGACCGAGATATTGTCTGGAGAGCCCCTTGGTTATTCCTTAGTGATGTTCTTTTTCGATGTGGTGACTCCGACACTGTGACCTTACTTGGACTTTGGGGAGCAGTCGGGTATGCTCCGCTATTAGCACTTAGACAATATGGAGCACGTCAGTTTGTCCCAGCAACGTGCGGGTTGGCTAGGTCAGAGTTTGAGTATCACGGCGATAGCTATAAGAAGATGATCAAAGAAGCAGCCGATTCTTGGAGAAAAGTATTCCGGATGGATGTTGTAGCTGCCAGAAGCATGCTCACTCCGGATTATGTGGAGTGGCGAAGATTGAGAAAGAATGACAACATCCCTGTGCCAAACTGTGATGACACCCGAACCATGGAAGAACATCTCAGGCATGTCCCTTCTGAACTCGAGATAGCCAAGACTGAGTTTGAAGCTGTGAATAATGAGCTGAAGCAAAGGATAAAGGAACTGGAAGCTGAACGTTATCAGTGGAAGCTTGATGCTGACTCTCAGAAAGATCGGGCAGAAAAAATGGAAAAGAACAAAAAAGAGTCCGTTTTGAGCTTGAAGACTTAAGAAAGGGGTATCAAGATAAGGTCAAGGATAACTCCAAGTTGAAGGTAACCTCTGAATACTGGAAAGACGAAGCTCATAGCCTGAAAAGGAAGTTTGAGGGGCCTGATGAGAAAGCTTGGAAGGAACAGATAAAGACTGCCCAAAGACGCTTGGCAGATAGTCAATATCAGAACCAGCGCTTGAGAGTTCGGGTAGCTGACTTAGAAAGACAACATGAGAAAGATGGCAAGACAATAGCTGAGTTAGAAGCTATTGTAGATGGGTTCAAGAGGCAAGCAAACGAGCTTCAGATAGTGCCTTTCGACGGAGGATTACAATGGCGTTTCCGTTGGGAACAAGCACAGCGAAGGGTGAGGGCCCGAGACGCAACCATCCGAGATTTCCTGGATCAAGTGCAAAAAGCAGCCCGTCATCTTCACGGCCTAGCAAGGGAAGCTGGTGTGGTTCGACAAGGCATTCAACCAGTGACAGATGAAGGCAGAAGACTTGTCAACCTACTGGAAGCTGTTCGGGGTCTAGAGGATTTAGTCCAAATGTACCTTTAATCTGTTTTTATGTCTCTAAAAAAGATAAAACATTTTTGTCTGAATAAGGATTATTTATAATAATGAACACTTTTCTGGATCAATGCCTCCAATTGCATACATCATACATTGCATTTCTTGCATTTTATATCTCATGTTTATTTATTTTATATTTTCCATGTTTTTACATTCGTATTAACTAACAGAACATGTCTCAGA